ACAGAATTACATGAAGGCCATCCTGGAATTGCACATGAAATCAATAGCCCGCAGTCATGTCTGGTGGCCGAAAATAGATCAGGAGATTGAAAAGGTTACCCGTGAATGTCAACCGTGCAACAAAACCCTCAGGGTTCCTCCAGCCTCACCGCTTCTTCCATGGTCTTGGCCGACAGCTCCATGGCAACGTGTTCACGTAGATTTTGCCACCCATCAGGCAAAACAATACCTCATCATGGTCGACGCCCACTCTAAGTTACCCGAAGTGATTGGTCCCATGAAAACAACAACAGCCGACTCAAATATCAATGCCATGCGTCATATTTTTGCAAGATACGGTCTACCAACCCAAGTAGTAAGCAACAATAGCCCACCCTTCCAGTCTGTAGAGTATGAAGAGTTCCCGCGGCAAAATGGCATTCAGAGAATTTTAGTTTCCCCTTACCATCCCTCTTCAAATAGGCTGGCTGAGCGGTTTGTGCAGACTTTCAAGTACGCAATGGAGTCATCAGCTGACGATCCCACAAGCTCTATACAGAAGCACACCATACGGTACTATCGGCTTTTCCCCCGCCAAGCTATTCTTACAGCGAGAACTTCGCACTCGATTGTCTCTGGTTACACCTGATACTGGATCTCGCTTGGCCAGCCAGCAAGACAAAATGAACTCCAATCACGACAAGTTTGCAAAATACAGAAAGATAGCTGTAGGTGACAGTGTTCTCGCACGTGACCACCTATCGAGACAGAAGTGGCAAGCTGGTACTGTCGTTCCTTTCAAGTCCAGTTGAACGATGGATGGAATTGGAGGAGACATGCTCACGATGTACTTCAAAACACCCCCTAGTTCTGCTGTTACTCAATCCAGCTCTGTCGAAGTTACATCTGATCAATCTACTGAAGGCGTTACTTCTCCCAGTACCGAAAGCAGTACACCCCCACCTGAAGAATCAGAGTCAGGGGAGTCGCCAAGCACACCTACTCCTCCCATCCCTGCTCCGCTTCGGTCCAAACGTGCTACTCAACCACCACAGGGACTGATTGAAGAAATGGACTGAAACCATTAAGTCTCGCCTTAATGACATTGAACAGTGCTTCTAATAACTTTGTTTCTTTTTTGAACGTTTGATCGTTTAGAGAGTTTCAACAGTTGTCTTGTACTTTAATTTCTTATCAGGCACCACATTTCTGCGGGGAGGTGTTATAGTGTATCATTACATTTGTTATAGTGTCAGAAATTCATACTAAGCTCGCAGTATGTATGCGGTTACTGCAAAACCCATAAGCTCTTTGATTAATACAGTTCTTCGAAGTTCTTTAGTTGATCCGCCATCTTTCGTGCAGTTGTCTGTTTGCCCGAGAATATAACATCAGTGTATGTCTTCTTCGTTCATGATGAGTTTCCTGAGGTACAATGATTGATGGGAGGAGGTAAAAGGCAAGCAAGCACAGCTGGAGGAGAAGACACCAAGATATATCTGCTTTTCGCAAAACTTGATTGGGCATATCGTTATCCGTGAAATGTCAAATGATTACTTTCATTGTTTCGTGAAATGTGACATCGACCTTCCCCTTTCCATCTTAGATCAGTTCTTTAAAGCTTAATCCCTTGGACAATAATGATAATGATAATGATGATAATAATAATAATAACTTCTAATAACAGTAGAAAATTCTTACAATCAAATTGTTGCTCTTTTTAGCAAAAACTGTATTGCATAAAGAGATTGAAATCTTGTTTTGCCAGGTTCCTTTTGAGACGATAATGCTTTTGTTTAGCTCCAATAGCGGCATTTAAGAATTTCAACGGCTACTCAAAGTCAGACAGCGATCTGAACGTCACATTTTAGCTACCTAACTTTTTTATGAAATGAGATGAAGTTAAGCGATCGATTTATCCGTCCATAAAGTTCACGTTCGAAACATCTTCAGTAAAGGATGCGTGAAAAACGGCTTTAGTTCAAGTAACACTGTTCAAGTGATCCGCAAGTACTGAAGAACTGAGTCACTGACCTCCTTTATTCATTAAAGCCGCGATCTTCCGGCTTCCGGCTTAGTCCTGAAGAAGCTCTCTTGATACAAAATTCGTGATGGTATGCCGTTTATTTTGAAAGGGAGATTTTGTTTTACCATATATCAACGGAAAGCTATCAGCTCAACAGTATGAAGTACGCCGAGGGTGTTTCTTGTTACTTATGTGTGGTATGTTTACTCAGGGTGTAGAATGCACGCAAACCATGATTTAGTCCCCATTCTTCTTCGGCCGGGTTCTCAGTTTTGTCGCAATTACGGGCCTTTCGGGACTTTGTTTTCGATTTGCAGAGTTTCATTCTTTCGCTCCCCAAGCGAATGAATGAAACTATTTATTAAGATGTAATCAGCTGTTCACAACCTAACCAGCGCCCGTCAGCAGCAGTCCACTTTTGCAAGTCACATCTCCCAGCCCTGTTGTGTTAATGTTGATTAAAACATTTCATTGCCAGGGAAAATCACCAGCTGTGGTTATGACAGAAGATATCAAACAACTGAAGACCTCTCTTTAACTATACAAGATGCCGGATGTAGAGTTGATCTACAGTCAACTTTATGTGAAAAGATGAAAAGTTTAGTCGATATACTTAGGGTCTCGGGTTACTTAAATCATCATTAAACGAAAGTCCTTGACTCTTTTTAATCCTCCTTTAATTCTGAAGGATAAGATATTTCTTAGCCCTTTAATAAAGACACTTTTAACCTGTTTTGAAACTTGGCTCGCATACTTCTCATGTTTTGGTCTGTTTGGTGTCGACCTCACGTGCACAGCTCCCTACAGCTGGCTAAGAGCCGGCCATACTCTCCTCATGTCTCCAGTGTCATTACCGGTATTTATTTTTTTTACCTTTTTTTTTTCTACTTGTTTGTTAACTTTTGTTGTTTTTCTTTTCTTTTATTGCAGCTATGCTAAAGAGTTCATATACACGGAAAGGCTGTTTTTTCACAGCTCATCACAGTTTCAGATACTGTTGGCCATCGTAACTTCTTGCGGACCCCACCCGGCAATTTTTCAAACGAGATTTTTAGTGCTTCATGGCACTATTATGGGCACTAATAACACTCTGTTCAACGTCCTCTGATGATTTTGCACTCTCTTTTTCGGCTAGTTTACTGCTTCTTTCAGTTGCTGCTCAGTTCAGTTAAGTTTACGTTTAGTTTAGCCTGATATATAACATTAGACCAAGACGATTACAATTCTTTCCTTTTCCCCAAAAAGCCATGCATGGCAATGTAAGTGCCGGATGAACAAAAATTCAATGGATTGCGCCGGTTTCACCTGCGGCTCGAACAGTATTAATTTCCTCGCGATCGTCTAAATCTTATTATATGGAACTGGAACTCAAAAAATATTTTGTGCTTTATTTTAATTTTTCGATGACCATTTTTCGCTTACAAGGTTTGGCTGAAACGTAATCACTTACGGCACAATATGATCTCAGCAAAAACAGAAACGGAGATGGAGTGCATACTATTGCAGTCACCCAAAGCGACTCACACTGTCTGTGTTAATTTTCTCATGATATAAGTCTTGGTTGTAAAATCATTAAAGAAAACAGCATCAGTATTTTCTGCACTAAAAGTAAAATCTTTACAGCAGCAGTATTTGCATTTTTCTTAGGTTGGAAATGTTACGGATCATGCTGTTATTTGAGGAAGCTTTTTGGTTCCTTAAGTTTATTTTTATTCATCGAAAGTGTTTTAGATCCTGATAGTTCCTAGCTGAGTTTGTAATATCTGGATTCGGCTTAACAATATAAAGATTAAGAGAGCGATATAAACATGAGTCAGTCAGTAAAGCTTTAGCCTTAGGGAAGTAACAGAGTGTTTTTGCCCTGTGACGAATATTGAGCGGGATCAGGGACGCCATTCGAAGTAGTGCCATCCGGTTTACTTTAATGGACCTATAACTTTCCAAACGGATTAAGTTAAACTGGGTTCGTTTAGAAGAGCAGGAACATCATATTAAACAGTACAAAATGTTTAAGTTTTCGAATAATCTGCTGAAAATATTCATTCGTGAGGCAATGTAAAAGAAATCATAAAAAAGTTCATGAGAAGAGAAAGGAAAGACGTCGTAGAAATGTTGTTTGTCTGTTTGTCCAATTTTTTTTTTTTTTTACGGTTTATTTATCTTTCTTTTTTTTTTCCTTCTTCTTTAATACACGAGCATGTTATGGTAGGAACGAGGCGCTAGCGGCTTGTTTACTGTCACCTTTCTCAACTAGATTTCTTTCGGCCAGTATCAACGCAGCATGAGTCGCTGCATGTCCCAAAATTGTCTTGTTAGGGAATCAAATAAATTCTCTTGTTACCTCTTCTTTTGAGTTGCAATATATAGACAGTGTATAGACATATAAACGCTTCCGAATCACATAATTGCATTCGCTTGTGAACAATATATTAGGTACAATTGTATCTATATCGTTTCAAATACTTTGCGAATTATTATTTCCCTTCCGGAAAGTAGCCAAAACAATCTAGCAACCATGCAAGCGTTGGTTTCCTTCTCTCGCTAAGAAAGCAAAGGAAACCGGAAATTCACAGCTTATGCAGAAGCACGAAGTTGTTATTCGGTGAAAACGTTAACTCAAGGAGTAAAAAGTACCAATCTTCAACTGACAATAGTTCAAATTTGAACCCCTCTGGGCTTTTTTCCGGTGCCTAAAGCTAACATGGTTCTTATGTGTCACATGGGATTCGACCTGGTCTTGAAGAGCGTTGACAGAATTTTCCCGGCGAAAGGAATAAGTTCAAAGGGAGGTAACCTGTCTGCTTCCTGACCGCAACTATTTACAGACCTTTAATTAACCAATTGAGTTACAGTACTCCACAGGTATAATTAGCTAAATTATCATGCGCGAGACTCAAGTCTCCAGAGTTACTTAAACTGGTGCCAAGAAGCCGAGAAGTTGACTGTTTGCACCAAAACTGCGAGCTTGCTGAGGAGGTGATTCAGCTTAGGCAATATGTCTGCAAAAGTGAAATATGGTTCCGCGTTCTCGCCTGTCATCCCTTCCAAATCCACCCTAAACCATCCATTCTCTATCAAAAACTTACTAAACATCGAAGATCAAAGTGAAGTCAAAGACCAAAACAGAGCCATCACGGATATTTCTCAAACAAGTACCTTACCTACACATCCCATAAAAGAGGCTACACAAGCAAACATGAATTTAACTGAGTGCTTATGGCCGGCTTGGGTTTATGCCACAAGATATTCAAGACATGGAATTCCACCAGGTAAGTTTTAGCACCTTGGCTTCCTTATTATTATTACTTTTGCCTACTGTGACATTTCAGCTGACAATGTAACTTGTTAGGAAAATGACTTTGCCATTGGATTGCATAAATCTTATCATAAGTCTAGCTGTCGGACTCAGCATGGAAAGGCATAAATCAAGCACTATAAGTAAATGGCACCTACTTGAAAGCCATCAAAATTTCTGAATTTTTCACGTAATACAGAGAAGTATTTAGCACGGAAATGGTATATTTTATGATTTAGAATAGCATCCGATCGTTAAAGTCAAATATAAGCATACCTCATTGCCTGGGCTCAATACTGATAGGACCCGTGTAATGCTTAGATGGAAGTTGTGTTGCTGTACGTAGCCACCTCTACCTTTTGAGGAAACGCACCAAAACAACCAGAAGCACCGAATGGAAACAAATCACCCGCCGAGCAATTGTTTGTATATTTTAGTGATCTTCAGACTAAATCTTCCTCACGAGACTGACTGGTTCTTTTGGATTTTCTATCTTTGGTTGTTGATTTAGACATTTATAATTCAAGTTGTAGAAGTGTACAAAGGTCAGATGAAAGCAAGAGAAACTACACACTGTAAAAAATTTCAAAGTGTTTACCCAGATCATAATAACTATAAAACAGGATTAACTTGAAGGATGAACTCCTATGAAAGTATTTCAGTTTTCCTCTCACCCGAAATAAACAAAACGCTGACGTTTCGCTGCCAACATACAGATGATTTTAACAGTCGCGGACTGACACCTTACTCTGCTCAAAAACCCTTCTGTGTCCCTCTTTTTGCTTTTGTTGGAAATACATCTGATTTATAATCATGAAAGCTCAAAATAGGTATTCATATACCAAAAAGACTAACATGCACCAGTATGTTTATCAAAAAGCCGCAAATCTTGACCCAGAAACCACTGTATAAATCTCGACCATGAAAGACCATGGAGGCGATAACGCAATTACCTCAAACATGATTAATAGGAGTAAATATAAATCACACTCGGAAATATTCAGAGAAGGTTAAACGTATTTCCTGATATTGATATCAAGTGGAGGAAAGATGGCCTGACTCTAGCAGGTCAGTTTTTTTTTTCTCAACTTGTACAGGTTTCTATTATTGTTCGGTAGCTGTACAGTGCATGAGTTCGCGTGATGCAATGATCCGGAAGAACTTGAGACAATGATAATGTCTTACTCGAGACTCAGACTCACTATGTCCATACTCCTTGCTTACTCTTTTAAATTGATGGATTCATTTCCAAAAAACCAACTAAAAGCAAGACTGTTCGAGGGTTTCATTTGAAAGAACTGAACTCCCTTACCATAAATAAGGTGTACGGATGCTGTCCTTTTCATAGACTCCCTTGGGAACTGTTCTAAAAATAAGTGGGCATTCAGTTAAGTAACCAATAATATTTGGTTCATTAAGTCGTAGTCTTATTGAAGAAAAGACATAACCAGAGTATAATACCATCAACTGACGTGATACAACTCACTTTGACTCTGAAGATGACTACCGCACAGGTTGTCGAAACGTCAGTCACTGTCAACAAGAACAGTCCTATTCAGGACTACTTTCACCCGGGACGATCAAACTCAACCTACTTTTGAAATGACTCCTGGGTTCAAACCTTTCACAATAAATTCACTGCCCGTATGGATAAACCTTGTTTTTAAGTGGATGAGTTAATTCAAGTTATTTGCTCACATTAATACCCACTCCTGAGCCGCTCCTGAGCCGGACAGTGTCCGGCACTGTGTTGGGTAGCTAATATTTGCTGCACACCTTTTGGACAAGAATGAGTCGCCCTTTCTTGATACTAAATACCGAACGTTCTACTGGTAAGCTCCGACAGAGTTATGTTTCGTACAGAAGTCGACGATTCAGTCTTCAAACCTACAATGGACTTGTTCGAATTGTTGATAGATGGTCAAAGAATGTTGTTATCGTTGAAAACCTGGGTCAAAAAACATGATAAAAACATGCAAAAACATCACTGAAAATTTAATCACATATATATCGATTCATTTTCTCCTTCTGGTAAACCAACTTATTTCCTTCAGATCCTAGACACTTATGAACCCGTTACATTCAGTTTGTTTTAAGAACACTGAATAATACTGAACGTCGCAACTTGGCGAGAGCAAACCGTACCAAACACCACCCCTTTTATGTTTATATAATTGAAGAAGTTCACTCAATTACCACCCTTGGCTTGTTACAAAGAGTTAGTATAGGTGGAAATGTTTAACTACAGAGTTAGACGAGTTGTATGAATTAAAAAGTTAGTTACAATTGATACAATTTCTATTCTTTGATTTCGTTGTTTTATTGTTTCTTGTAGCTAACTACACGAACCCAAGACGCCCTCGAAAGCCCATCAAAAGGCAGAAACAAAGGCCCCTTTTCTCACCAGAGCAACTCCAAAAACTAGAAGTAGAGTTTGGTAACGAAAAATACATCTCTAAGTCACGTCGCTGCAAGTTAGCTGCAGAAATAGGCTTGACGGAAGCACAAGTGAGAACATGGTTCCAAAACAGGCGCACAAGATGGCGGAAAGAGGTACACGAGGAGGAAGAAGATCCCAGCTGGATCACGCACACTGGAATAACAGCTGCAACATATGATGCTGGAGCTATGAACAACAACTGCATGATAGTGCGAGGATATTGTTCAGCATAAAGACATCTAAAGCTTTACTGTTAACGAGATAGCTCTGCTGTTTTATTTGCTAAACAACAAAATAAATTGACAGCTAATGGCGTTCATATCTCACACGCCCGGGAGAGAAAAAACGGGAAAGTTGGTTTTGCAAATATAAGATTTCGCTAGAACACATGCAGGAAAGGCAATTGTGATTTGTGCGCCAAGTACCTTGGGGCAAAGAATTTGCGATCGATCACATTTTCAGATAAATTTCTTCCCTTTTCCACAAGGTTTTCATTCGCCAACATACGCATATTTCATAGAGCGTTTTTTTATAATATACGAAATTATACAGTTTGTGCACACTTATACTATGAAAAGTGTGCCGAAAAAACAGTTTTATACTGAGCTGGTTCCATGCTTTTCTTAACCCATCTAAATATAAAAAGTAGGTTTAGGTTGTCTTTTATTTTCAATCCGTATACATTTCAATATGAAATACCAACACCGAAATTAACTTTGTTTTCATTATCACTGAATTGCATAAGGCCCCATACATATCTTTTCCAATAAACCTTTAGTCATTGGCCTACTGGCAAATGTTGATGAATTTCTACTGTCGCGTAACTTTACAAGGGTATTAGACACATACGGCTAAAATAGTTGACCTTGATATTACGGAATCAGCGTAAACAAGATGGTCGCCGTCTTCCGAGTTGTGTAGATAAAAAGTTGAAGATTTGTAAAGCGGACAATACGCTGTTATTACTAGGATTTATTGTAAATCTACAAGCCCCCATCGACATGCCGCTTTTATTTCCATGCGTTCCTTCTCTTAAACCTTATTTTAGAAGTCATAGTGGGGCGGGCCAAGAGCTTTCTTAAACTCAGTTATTGTAGTCAATGATATTAAGGAATCCATCCACAGACTTTTCTCAACTCACATCCAATGAGTGAGACTTCAGTTTCAATAAGGTAGACGTTTCTCACTCAGTCTCAGCGATTGACTATGACCCTAAGATAAGTTGGATTTCAAAAACGTCTCAGTCACGTTTAAGTGAGGACTCCAGCAGCGCGAGCAAGCGACCCCTTAGTCAAGTTGAGTACCTCTGAGTGAAGGGTTTATTGAGAAGGTATTTGAGTTCAGGCTTAGAGTGAAGGCAAATCCGCAAGCAGTCAACTCAATTTGTTCCCTTAAATTTAAGTTTACTACTGAGCCTTAAATACAACAAAAAGTTAACGCACAGTAGTAAGTAATAATCAACGCAGTTTAGAGGACAAGAAACTGTTGTCATTGAGAGGTCTTTCAGCTGCATCGAGAGACGCAGTCGGTTTATTCATGAGTGGCGCTGATCGTAACAAATGATCACCGGGATTCTCAGATAATACAACTGACATACAAAAATGATAGTAACGCTCAAAATACAACTCATAGTAAATTTTGGACGGTTTATATTATCTTATACACTATTCACCATCTGTGTGATATACAAGAAGCTCGAAAACAACAAGGCTGTGAACGCAAAGGGTGTATCGGTTATATTGTCGGGTTATATCACATTTTTAAGCACCAAGTACATGAACTTATTGTATCCTAAACTGTCAATTTTCTTTGTAAAACGTGAAATATGCAATAAAAATGTTAAAAACCGCTGTAATCACAGTTTACTTTGTCTCATAAACGAGTAATTTTTTTATTTGGCCTGCGATCTTATAACTCTGGTCGTATGAGCTTAGTGCTAACTCTACTAAATCAAGTTATTTCGTTTCCTTTTCCCCTCCAATGTGCTAGAAAGCGACTCGAAACCGGTTACGTTGCCATCGAGTAACGCTGATTTAGTGTTATTCATTGGGTAGAGATTTAGCCAGTGTTTGGTCTTTTTTCTCCATTGAAACTGACTAACAACCGTGATCTTGGTAGTAGTTGAGTGCCAACTCTTCATTTCACCTTAGCCTTCATGAGTACTCAACCGGCTCACAATGGATTGTTATCAATAGAGATCCACTATTTTACATCAGGACAGCAAAAAAGTGTTGTTATCAATTTGTTAAAGTGCTTTGGGTATTTCATTCTTTAGCAAGTGAGCAACAAACAACCAGCGCTTGGTCCTTTGATTTTATACAGTTAAGTGACTTTTAACATACTTTGGATGTTCCTTAACCTTGAAGATAACTTCTTTTCAAGAGGGACCGTCTATCTTTATTAGACTGACGAGAACTACGACTCTTTCCCTGTAATGCGTTGCGTTTTACTTCTTTGAAACAAAAAACAAACGTGGTTTGGTTCGTTGTTCTTACTTGAGTGAGTCAGTACGACATGTGATTTTAGGTGTTACTCAGTAATGTTAAATTTGTTTCATTGCGACAGAATAAAAGAAGAAAGGCGAAAAAATTATAACTCAAAGCATTTTCCCACCACAGTTCAATTTCAAGCTGGTTAGCAAATATTACTCCTACAGAAACTGGAATCAACTTGTTTCCTGCACAAAAATGTCATTCGGTTTTCAAGAAACTCACTTGGATAAGCTTGTCGAAATGAATTACTCGCCAATTACTCCGCATTCACCTGATAATCCTGTAGTTTACTTAAAACAATTAAATTTGTAGCTTTTGGGTGATGTTAGAAGTCTCAAGCTGAACTGAAAAAGGCCGTGCGAACATTTATAAGACAATTTCTTTCCATGGCTCCGTCGCTTAGACTGAAAGAGAAACTCCAATGACAGACGGCAGTTTTCAAACGGCTCACATGCAAAGGATTGATAAGTTTAGTTTGCAGCATATAATTGTTAAATTTGCAAATTTGAAACGAGTCACTGAATTATCTTCAGTCTTACAGCAATGACATAATCACTAAATATCGCAAGTAAATGAATGTTGGGTGAACAACGTATCAAACAGCATACCTTAATAGTGACAAAATCGCAAACATGTGATCCTTAGGCTTGGTAACCTCCCCTCAATTTAAGGTGCGGGTGGGCGTTTTGAAGCTTCTAGCAATTCGGAAAACACTTCAAATCGAACTCTGTGCACCCCGCAATGCGTATGGATTCGGAGCACAGCTCTTTGCTCACAAGTAAGTAGGAGAAAGAATAACGTTCCATTTTTCTTGCTCGGCCTGGCTGTCCTCACTTTCTGCGCATTTCGCGTTGTTTCTGACTTAGTCTAGGACCCTCTCGAGGTGTTTGTGAGTCGTATTTTGTTAGTAAAGAGGCTTCTTACGGAGAAAACATGCCACGGCAAAATAAGTAAACGAAAAAAAACAGGATGTAACATATTATGAGAAAACATGCGAACATACGTGGGGAAATAGACGGGCTATTTCTTATTTTAGCACTAAGATCACAAGGTCATCGCATCCGCCGAGAGTCCGGTTTCATTTAGGACCGAAATAAACAAGCAGTAGACAACAGGGAACGCTTGAAAAAGAAGAAAGATAATTTGATGCCCCACCAAGCTCACAAAACTAAAACATTAATTTATGTCGAATGGCACAATTTTTCTGCGAGGGACTTACGTATTTATTTATATGCGTATTCATCATTTAAGGCAGTGATAACAAGCACTACAACTGATTGCAAATTCACACGGTAAAAAACGTCTGATTAGATCAAAATGAATGATACTGATACACCTCCAACAGCGCTCTGTCTTGTTGCCAAAACGACAACAAAGCCTTGATTCTTGCTTTGGAGATTGCTCCTTAAGTGATACATTTAATGTGTGCTAGGCCTTATAACATCTAGTTTACGAAACCGCGTTGCGATGGCAACGCCTTAACAAAAAGAGCAGTTTAAATACGAATTTAGTTTCTTTTAACTATTTTTTTTAAGAGAGTAAGAGAGATATGGTAAACGCGCCCCATGATTGAAAGATAATAGTATAATACGCGAGAAAGGTTAAAGTTTTTGAACAATGCAACTAAAACAAAAGTTTTTTAAAAACAGGGCCATACGTGTGACTTCACCTTTTCCAAAAAGATCAAAACGTGACGAATCCATTTAAAAATTGTGCCACCCGTGACAGTTTTCAGACCAATCGGGATATAGCATTTTAACCATTTTCGTTGATTAATGACGTCTCAGAAACAAACACGAGAGCTCCCCTGGATATGGATCGTGATAAAAGCATTAAACGGCGGCCAGGATGGCGGAATATGCTAAGGGGCGTGTTAAGGCATCGGTAAACTGCATACTAACTGAATTAAACTTGATGGATTATCACAGATTAACTACAGGCGAACATAGTCAACGCAGTTGGATTTATATGAATCAATCTCGGACCGTTTGAAATATGTCGTCATTCGGAAGTGCATTGTGGAAGGATTTCCATGATTTCAATTAACAGTTTATCATTTCCGGCGAAAGTGTAATGTTCCACCTCGCACTCAGTCCGAAAATCTTGATTGGCTCAGTATTTGGAAATTAATTTTCTGCCTAAAATTATTTTTACACCATAATACTTTAGAATTAGCTCTATCACACAAGCGGCATCCGACTAGATACTTGGGCGAAGACCTCTTTAAGTTGTTTTGGAACAACGATTCTGCTAATACAAACATCGCTTTAAGTTTAAAGAGAAAATCAATCAAAACCCTATCAATTAAGCTGATCTTAACTGACTGTCGGGCGTACTGCCAACACCGACACCGCAAAGGGAAACATAAAAATGTTAGGAACGGGCTGAAAGAAAGAGTTTTCAACACCGCAAACCCGGCCCCCGTTGATATCAAATTCTTTGCAATAGACTAAATAATCAGATATTAAAGTCTTAGAAGTGAAACATCAACATAATGTTTAGCTTATTTGAAAAGTTACTGACGAGTTATTCAACTTGGCAAATATCCGTCAACCCCTAATTTTCTGTTTCCTCGGCTTTGCTTATGATAATTCAGTGAGCGATTCCGCCTGCTTTCCGTTAGGAAATATAGTAAATACGTTTTCCGCCCTGTTAAGGTTAGAAAGAGAGCCGTGCAAACTAGCACTAACACTAAATATAGAACAAAACTTTCTGCCTGAGCTTCTTAATATAAAAGCTGTTTTCCTCAGACAATTTCCTGTTGCAGGCACTTAGACTGGAACAGACCACGACTCAACTTAATTTATAACTACTTGAGGACGTAACAAATGAGTTACGTAATGGACCTCCAGCTAAGTACCGTAAACTGCCGCTTATAGCCCCGTCCCTCCCCCCCCCGCCACTTATAAGTCCCCCAAGTTATCGACCCATAAACCTGTAAACAAAATACAAGTATTGAAGTTAATTTGATTTTATTATGACGTTTGGAGCTTTATCAAAGAACCAGTAAATGAAAACGTATTTTGATCAGCAATGGTGCGTTCATAGATTGAAGCTTGTTTCGAGCGGCTTTAGTATTCTATTCTGGTTATACTAAAGCTCCCCTTGGATGTAAGCCCCTCCGTTTATAAGCCTACCTAAAACCCCGTACGGAGATGTGCAAGCTTAAGGATTATGTATATCAGTAATCATTTATAATCATTATTACACGTATCAATCAGTTGTTGCTGAGCCTGACCACGCCTGTTTACTTACACGCATGGTCAAACCAATTGGCTGACGATCTCGTGTACACTGAAGTAAAGCGTATCTTTTAAAACCTGTCATTATCCTTTCTCTTGCACTCTTTTTTTGCCTCAGTCGACAAAACCTGTGGATTTGATTTTGAGTGAGGACTAGTAAGTTGCTACTACTTTAGGCCGCGAACCATATGAGAAGTGCCTGTTTGAAACCAAACGCGAAAGAAAAATTACAGAGGCAGTGGGTAAAAGAAGACAGATAGCGGGGAGCTTCTTTATCTTATCTTTTTTTAAAGCAAATACATTCCAATGTACAGCTTGTGTGTCCAGTTACAGATTACAGATGACATCAAAATATGGTAAGAACAAAAGGTGTGGTCACTAGGCCGTAGGTGAGTTGGTCCGCCCTGCACGTTTTCTTTCATTTATTTGCCACTTTCGAGTAATACATGATACATCTTATTCCATTCTTATAAACATTGTCTCAAGTCTGCACTGCCTCAATCCAAATATTCTAAGTATTCTCGATGAGCCGAAAAGACAAGGCAAAAAATCTCTATGACGTGACTGGCAATGCAACCGTACTGTACCTAAAAATTATAAGTACTGATCAATCAGAAACGGGATATAAAACAGTAGACAAGTGAATCTGATAACGCGCCATTGAGTAAACAAACCGGCTTGGGAATTGCCGATCCTTTATTCCATGTTATTTTCTGTTTATCACTTCAGTTCTTAGTGAATACTGTGATATCGCTTAAAGACCTTAAATGATGTACATTGCCGTATACACGCTTTGGTAAAAATACTGTGGCTGTTGACACTGAAAAGACAGCAAAGTATATGGGGAACCGTCGAAACCTGAATCACCAAGAAGGATCAAGCCTTATTACAAACCAATATCAGTATTACAATAAGAAAACCCTATGAAGAGTGACATCCATTCAAGAATTCCGTAATGGTCTGTTTCAGATGTCAACTGACAACCGTTTATGTGCCGGGACAGCCTGCATGATATGTTTCCGCACAACCTTTACTAAGTCCCTATGACGTCACAATATCAGTCACTGAATGAGATGTGTTCAAATGCCGGTCAACGACTAAAAAAATCTCTCCAAGAAAAATACAAAGATGGACTCTATTTCAGATTTTAGATTTTGCCATACTGTTTTTATAGGACTTACCGTTTCAGTTTAATCATCTATGATAGAAACGCGGCGTCAGTATAGATTTACAATATTGACCATCCACGTGCTCCCAAAATCACGGATGAGTAATTGGGGGTGGGCTGGATGCTGGAGGGGAAGAAGATTTTGTTTTTTCCTTCCCCCTGGTAAACACCAGTAGAGTAATGAATAGTACCGCTAATGTGGTACCATAGTTCACTGCATTCACTTGCAATAGTAAATCCAACCAGCTGACTTGTTTGTTGACTGTACCTGAAAATCATGACCTACTCCCTCCCTAAACAGTACTGGTAGCAGTGTCACAATACAACTTCTCGATTTAATCTATTTTTCCTGCATTAATTCCAAATAATTATAAATATAGGAAAGTGAAAGGACTTAACAGACTTACGAGCTTTCCATACATTACTTACACAGTATGAAAAGAGCGAAAAAAGACTCAGCGTTGTCGTTCATACAGTTAAATGAGTTACGTTTTCTGGCAATTCAAAACGTTACTCATTTAATCATTTAAACTGTTAACCATAATTTAAAAGAAAAAGCGAACAAAACAAAAACAAAAAACATTCTAATGCTATCGCCTAAGCAACATCGGTGAGCAATCAGGATTTGAGTTCCTAATCTTGGAATGCTCTCTGCAACGATTTTAAGTGTCTCGGGTAAGTATTCCATAAATAAGGAATCCTATTTTGAAATGTTCCCTCTAATAACAGTACCTCTGTTCTTACTGAATTTAATCTCAGTTTATTTCTTTAGTAAATGGAAAGGATCTTATTTTGTTATCTAAGAAGAACTGAAAGAAAATTAAATGTGTGACTTCTGTACGGTAGAGTCAACGGTACACTATTGTAAGTAGCCAGTCCATCGTTCAATGTGCTCGTTGTAGCTCGGACCCTTGTCGCAAATCGTTGGAGTTCCCTACTAGCTTTATCATAGAGATAGACGACGAGCTACTAATTTCATCAGAGGTCGGCTTATCAACGCCGGAACGCAACTAATAGGGGAAATCGTCGGAAGGAGAAGGCAAGTGTCACAGTGACGCAGAATAACTCAGCGAATAACTCAGCGGATGGTACTTCTTAACGCATGCGTAGAAAATTCAAAATGGCGGTCGAGCGGACGTTCGGATTCGATGAAGTTGACAAATTTGTCTCTTTTGAGGAGCAATGAACTGTTTTTAGGGCTTTATTCTGCGCTAAAATAGTTTATAAAAAGACGCATCACAATTTGAAATGTCTTTGGATCACAATCCGCAATGCTCAGCGTGCAAAATAGCAAACTCTTTGATGTGGAGGAAAGGTTCTAATGGGGAAGTTCTGTGTAACAGCTGCCACCTGAAGCGAGTTAATTCGAGTGTACGTGCGCAAAGACAAAGCTCTAAGGAAAGCAAGAAGCTCATTGCAAGAATTAAGGCAGGAACAAGGAAAGGCTACAATGGAAAAACAGGTGAAAGGTCCAGAGGTCGTCGAACATTGCAAAAGATAAAAAGAAAGGTAAGCTGAAGGCAGCTGCGTTCGTTGGTATATGCCAGACAGTCGGGAAGGGTCTCAAAAAAGGTAAATACCTGGCAGTCAGAAAATTTAGTTAACTGAAGATAGAATACTTTCAAGAGGTTAGGGAAAGTGATTTCGTAGAAATTCTACAAAATTTTCTGACTGGTGGGTATTTTCATTTTAGTTTTTTGAAACCCTTCCCAAATGCCGGGCATATAGCCACAGCATTATTTAAAACGCTGTGGTTGGTTGCTGGTCAGAAAACTAAATGACCAGCAGTCTGATATTTTCAATAAATTTGACAAATAAAAAGACTCAGCTAATCCAAACTGTCATCTGTCCATTATGAAAAGTCAAGTGATCCTCAAAATACTTAGCTTTATAGATTTCAAACCCATGGCTTAAACTGAGCTCTAGGAATGAAACCATGATTTATGACACCGAGAGACAGATGTCTGGCTCCAGTTATATTGAAAATGTGAAGCACATGCAATGGGAGTCTGTGCATATGATTACAAAGAAAAGAGGAACCTGTTGCAGAGAATAGGCCATGGGAGACAGTTTGTGAAGCTTTGCAAAGAATTTGAAGATAAATTGTCACTGTTTGCAAAGATTGACACAGGAAGGTTTCTCAATAAAATGTGCCACTTTTGTAAAACAAGTCCATTTCCTTTTTTTGTCATGACTTGTCGGTAAGTAGCCATCATACACTGCAAAATCCAGCCAAACTTAAAAGTTCAACACATTGTTTGGAGTGGAAATTGGGTTGTAATCCATTCTGTAGCCTTTTGTTTTACTAAGCCAAATGCTGAAACATGACCATATTAAACTAGGGGGTCCAGGGGCATGCTCCCGCAGAAAGATTTGACATTTTAAGGTCTGTCTGAAATAGCTGGAAGTGCATTAAAGCTTGTATCCTTCTTAAATACTGTTTACATATTTTTAGTTATTTTATTTCATAGTTAGTAGTTTTTGAAAATCAGGTTTGCTCCTTGAATTGTGTCAAAACTCTTTACTTGACTTCAATAGAACCATTCAGTACATCCTTGCAGAAAAAAAATTAGTGAATAATTCAAAATACTGCATCCATGCGGAGACTCCAAAATAAAGTAATCTTGACTCATTATTCGTGACTAGTCACAGTCAGTTCCCTCATAACTTTTAAACATGTTTAACTTTAACTTTTAAACATGTTTAACTGAAATGAAACCTCTGAGACACTCGCCCTGGTATCCTGAAAAAAATGCATTGAAGGCTCTGCCACATAGCGCTGTTTACATAGGTTTTGCCCCTTTGGCTTTATTCTCTAATTTTTTGTACTTTGCTTACTCTAAGCATCAGCATTTTAGTCCACCAATCAAGTGGCTTCTCTGAGGAAACCAATAATTATCAGAAAAAAGGCAAATGTGCCTGTTGCAGTCATCAATAGAAGTCCTCCTCCCACGACCTATTTCACATCTGTCTTATATTTTATTACTACCACATGTGCACAGTTTCATACGCCCTTGAAATGATTGAGAAGACCTGGGGCATACCCAGATGTTGTTTAAAGAGACACTAACACAAGGGAGTTTGAGCACCAGATTAAGGCGCAAACCTTGAAGGGTTAGCTCTGAAATTCTATTTTCAGCATTTTTGCTGTAACATGTTTTGTAACAGATAGTAAAATGACCTAGGCATTTTGAAGGATATTTTTTATTTATACAACGAACATTGACGTTTTTAAGGAGAACCTGTCAATCCACTGGTTGAAAACCAACCCACTTTACATTTTTACAACATTTCTTTGATTAGGATAGTTTAACCTTTTTAACAGGAGGTGGGAGATAGCATGCATGTGTATTCTGGTTGATTGTATTGCATGAGGTGCATGCATCTAAAGTTGGCTCTGCACGCGCAAGATCTTGTCAAGTCCTACCATACTCTGCAGACTGGCCTTCATCAATGTATACATTAGGTTTTTATCAGGCACTCTGTTGCTGCTTAGTTTTTTGACCATTTTATTCACTTATCAATAGAGACAGATACAGACACCAATGAGACATGCCAAAGGATTTGTGTAGGCTCTCATAATAAATATCACTAGCATTTTCAAAATTAATTTTAATGCAGCACTGCAACATGATCTGGCATTGACAGTGTAATATACATGTAGTTGCCTTGCAGTGTGATTTTCAGTTTTTGGTTCAGCTATAGTGCAGACAGACTGAATATGAAATCAAATGTTGGCTTATCTTTTTGGGTTCCCACTAGCGTACCCTGTGAGTAGAGTTTCTTTGCAGCATTGGCTTTTAGCATTTACAAAGTCGTTCATGTCATGAATTCACTTTTTAAGTGAAGTTTTCACTGCTGTCACCATCCTCTCATGTTAAGGTCCCTACAGTTTTCTTACCATAATTTTTTTCTTCACTTCAATTTTAATGTTAAGTAATATCGGGATGGAATGTTGAAAAAATCTTCAGTCTTTAACCCTCCAAATTAATGTTTTTGCTTGGTTACCATTTGGCAACCAACTCTTTTGGTTTAGGGAGAATTTTTTACAAATCAAGTAGCAGTTCCAAAATTTTAGGTGCCATGGCGACCAAAATGGTTGCGACTTGGAGGGTTGGTCTTGAAAGATTCATGTACTCTGTGCAGGAAAACATCAGTTCCTTGCTAGTTGGAGAGCAGGATTCACATTTGGTCATTATTTTGATCTTTGTGTTGATGTTATTTATTTTTACTCAATCAGTTGAATATCAACTCCTGACTTAAGAACCATTCAATTCTGGCTGTCATTATGGGCAACAATAAAGTAATAATATTATGCTTTCTTTCTATGTAGCCATATAAATCACCAGAGGGATTTGCAACTGTAGTAGCAGCAGACAGGATTTATTTCCAGGTTTGACTAGTTATCTTAATACATTCATTAAAATAAAGTTTTTTAGATACCTCACAAAAAAAATACTGATGGCTTCTATGTGTAAACATTTATTAAAATGAGTAGAACAAGAGCAAGCTGAAATGTGATAGATACAAACTGTACTGTATAAGAAAAGTTGTTGCGTAGACTTTGCAGGGCTCTAGTTTGTCTGGGCTAAGACTTTACTGTTAAAATTCTTGAGCCAGATAAACATGTTAATTTTTAATTTAATAATAATAATGATATTTTAATTATTATAATATTAATAATAATTACGATAATGATAATGATAATAATGATAATAATTATAATAATAATTTTGTTATATGTGAAAGGTTTGAACCCAGGAGTCATTTCTTAAGGAGGTTGAGTGTGATCATCTGGGTGAACCTAGTCCTGAATAGGACCGTTGTTGTTGACAGTAACTGACGTCTCGACAACCTGTGTGATAGTCATCTTCAGAGTCAAAGTGAGTTGTATCACGTAAGAGGCACCTCTGAAACTTTCGCACATATACTACAACCTTACAATATACATGTTGCTCACAAACCGATAACCACTTTACGACAACTGCTTACTTAAGTCTAGGAAAAAGACAAACCGGGGGACAGACAGGGAGCAGTATACAAGGTTGAATGCTGCAACTGCCAGGCTTCTTATATTGGTGAAACCAGCAGAAACCTTAGCATGCAACAGACCGAACACAAATGAGCGACAAGAAATGGTGATGTCAATAATCACATTGCTGAGCATCATTTACAGACGAAACATTTGGGAGAAACATGACTGGGACTTTGTGACATGTATTACGTGCTCTACAGACTACTATCAATGACTCACTATAGAAAGCTGGTTTACTAACTTAGAACAAACACCACTGAATTGTAGTCAACAGTTACCAGCACCGTACAGACGACGTAATGACAGAATCAAGCAAAACTAACAACAGGAGAATGACTGGACAACTGACAATTTGACTAACAATAAACAAATGTTTAACTGTGACAATACACGGATCGAAATGTACCAATGACATTACGAGTCTTCATAACCAATAATATCACTGCTTAACTGACATTCGACCAATAACATCGCAACTATACTGACCAATCAGGTCAATAACCAAAGTTTAATATCATCCGCTGACATGATACAACTCACTTTGACTCTGAAGATGAGTACCGCACAGGTTGTTGAAACCTCAGTCACTGTCAACAAAAACAGTCCTATTCCGGACTACGTTCATCCCGGATGATCATACTCAACCTACTTATGAGTTTTGTTATATATAGCACTGATTTTCATTGGTCTAATAGCACTTTTATTCACTTTGTCTGTCATTGCCGTCATTACAGCTGTATATGCAGGACCTCATGACTAACAGTAACTGGTAGAGCTTTCAACTCAAAAAGTTAAAAATGGTTATAGTTTCTGAGACTGGCAAAAGCATCAACACATTGAACGGAGTTACAGAGGAGCACAGCGCTGACTTGGAGTCTGATGAATACATTACATACATAAATAATACAGACTGTTACTAATAATACACTACCACGAAATTGGAGTCAGTAGTTACCGGCACCTAAGAAATGACTTAGTGATACACAAGTCAGCAGAACTACAAGCAATAGAGTATATCCTGAGATCAGGCCCAATTTTCTTTTGTGTGGCTCAGCTAAAGTTTGCCAGAATTTTGTATACCGAGTAAAACTTGAAGCAAAAAAGAGCCTGTTCCTAAGTTAATAGAGTAAGACATCATTCAGTTTGAAATTAACATTATAGCTGTTAGGATCTTTGGGGTAAAATTACAACTATTGTTCTACTACAGCTCTCATGTGTCAACCGCTCCAACATAGTAACGTTTCCCTCTGGTCTTTGTAAACAGGGTATTTTGTACCAAGTCGGGGACATAGTATCCATTGAAGATGTAGAAGGCGATTTAAAGAAAACAAAAAAAAAAAAAACAAAATATAATAGAATATAAACTCAAAAAAAATTTTATGGTGGGCAGATAGAGTTTACACAAAATAAATAAAAAAAAAAAAAAAAAAAGAAAAAAAAAAAATAGTCCTAAGTTTTTTTTTTTTTTTTTTTTTATCTTTAATAACATTTATTCAATCGACAATCAACAATCAAAAATACTTACAAAACACTACGATACTTACACTGCTTACAATATAATATTTAGAATACAATAGACTAAGGTACTTACTCTGTTTACAATGTAAAGACTTACAATACTCAGTACTTACAACACTACCTACTCACTACTCGCACTACAATGCACTATTTACAAGCATTTCTAATTAGTAATTGTACTTCAAAACCAACATTTACAAAACCAAACATTCACGGTAAACGCACTTATATCTTAAGTGTCTTAAAGAGGCAGCGATTGTGAAGCAAAAGATACACCAGGTTAATGCTGGAAAAAATGGGCAGAGGATCGAGATATACAAATGTATACAAAATCAAAGGCTTACTGAAATAAGGAGCTCACATTTTCCCATTTTTTTGGTAAAAGACTTAGTGATAAACAAGTCAGCAGAATTACAACTATTGTTCTACTACAGCTCTCATGTGTCAACCGCTCCAACATAGTAATGTTTCCCTCTGGTCTTTGTAAACAGGGTATTTTGTACCAAGTCGGGGACATAGTATCCATTGAAGATGTAGAAGGCGATTTATACTATGCTCAGTTAAGAGGATTCCTTCAAGATCAGTATGCGCGTAAAACAGCAGTCATCACCTGGCTTATTCCCCTGCTACCTAAACCATCATACTTCGATCCAGCACTCTTTTTACCAGGTAATTAGTACTACAAATTGCTCCAGTTGAGGGTGGCCAAATCGCCTGTTTGAGTGGATCGTGAGTCGTGAGTTTGGGAAGCAAGGGTGGCGCAGTGAGAGGGGTGAGAGGGCTCGCCTCCCACTAATGTGGCCCGGGTTCAACTCCCGGCGTCGACGCCATAAGTGGGTTGAGTTTGTTGTTTGTTCTCTCTTGCTCCGAGAGGTTTTTCTCCGGGTACTTCGGTTTTCCCCTCTCCTCAAAAAACCAACACTTCCAAATTCCAATGCGATCTGGAACGCACATTTAAACGAGTTCATATGAACTTCCATGTGCTTCGTGGGTAAACAAGCAATTTAAAAAATTTTAAAAAAAAAAATGAGTGGTGCGTCGTGGTTCGTGCGTCGGGCGTGAGTCTTGCATATTGCGTGTTATAAAAGATCATCAAACAAGACGGTATTTTTGGTGCACGCTTTTATTTACCAAGAATAAAGTGAGAGCATCCCATCTCTGAAGTGAGACCAATCTGAATATCAAAATAGTTTAGTATCTGTGAAACGTAACGGTTATATTAATAACGTACAGATTTTTCCATTATTACCGTTGGAATGTTTTGATGCATCTCGCACAGATTATCTAAGTAGTTACTATTGATGAAAAATGATGCTTACTGCACACGCAAAATCGGTCACTATAAAACACGGACTGTGAACTGGGGACTGGAGACCACGGACTGGGTATAAGAAATGGACTAGATATCAGACAAGTGACACATCAAGCATTAACCAAACTTAACGTGTAAAAAAAGTCTTTTTTGACTTTTCAGGGTTGTGGGGGTGGGTGGCAGTGATTTTTGAGGGGAGGGGGTAACTTTTTAAAGCAGGTTTAATTTTAGGTGTTCAATTTGACGAAATGTGGGGGGGGTCAAATTTTTATGACACATGATTGGCATTCAATATAAAAGTTAAGCCATATTGTAATTAGAGCGATTTTCGTAAGACCTCTAGTTGAAATGACAACGCGCGAACAACACAGAAACAACAAACGAACGGAAATACAGCGATTTGATTTGTTTATAGAACGGACACACACTCGCCTGCGTGGCTTATGGTTGGCTAAGCGAACGCTCGGGTGAAAAAACTTTATGCCCCAGAACTTTCTAGAAATCAATCGATACTTCGCTTTGACGTCATACAGCAACACGATTGGCCAATCGAACCTTTTAATAGCAGAAAAAATCCCTTGAACAATTCCTCGCTGTTGATGTTCTTGCACTGTTCTCAGATCTCGCTAGAGCTGCACAATTCTTTTGCGTCCCTTATTTTGACCACTAGAGAACAGACGAATAATTTCATTATTAAGATGAAGATGTAACTACTTTCCGGGAACGTAGGAAATAATTTGAATGTAGTTAAAGTTTTGATACACCACACTTTTCTGAAAACTACCCCCTCCCAAGGATTGCTACCTTAGCAAACGAAGGACCAAGGGTCTTCCCCACCCCTCCTCAACTTTTGCTCTTACCCAACTTACACGGGCAGGATAACTCACAACGTATAGCCTACGAGGTTCGATCTGCAACGCTTGCCCAACAAAGCACGTTCCACTGCAAACGACCCACCACCCACCCACGCACGCCAATTACACAAACTCGCTGCAGATCCAAGGTTTTTTTTCTTCTGTTATTAAAGTGAACCCATATGGATTTTTGAACATTTTTTTGCAGTAAGTTTATTATGACGATTATACCGTGCGTTATCTAAAGTAAAGCGTATTGAAGACCTTAAGAGTTTTCAACACTTTTCGATATGTACTGAGACGGTCAATGCTCCCTTGGTTTAGACTATGTAAAATGAAGAACGCTACATACACTTGTAAGATGAATGTCTTTGTTTTAACACGAACAGGCCTATTGTGTATTTCATTTCAGTTGAAATTAGCCCCACTTGAGATTCGTGTACATCTGAATTCGCAGAAAATTCCATTATGTGAGAAGCTGGAAGGGCGAAGTAATTTAAAGTTGTCACGTTTATGAATATCAGAATTGTTTCAACGGGAAGCGACAGTTGTACTTCGCGTTGTGTGTTACATACAAAATATTTAAAACATGTGCCGATCCGGCAGTTTCATTTTGTTAGCCCTTCACCAACGAACTACACTTCTAGCCAATGTGGCATACTAATGAGTCTGCATGTGCACCGCACTGTGTGCCTCTGCTCAGATTCATATACGCGTCCGGCCAGACGCGTGTACTTTGGTTCGTTTAGTTCAGACCTTCAGGGTATATTTATTTTTGTTTTAAAGTGATCTACGAAAAGTAAAGTCGTTGTCAGTAGATTTTCTATCTTTCCCTATTTTGTCACCTTACTACAGATGTTAGCAGTTGCGAGTTTGTTTTCTTATTTAATTTCTGCAGGACCTGAGGAGGATACGCCTAGGCCGATGGAGTGCATGGAATTTGTTTGCAGAGCGCCAACAGAACTTTTTAAATCCAGAAAAGAACATCCGCCATTTGTTATTCCACGACCACCTGACCTTAATGACTTAACAACAGCGGCAGAAATGCTTCTTAAGACCGAAGGAACTTCCACGACAATTTAACAACAGACTGAAAAGCTGGCCTGTACTGTATCTGCTGCTCTTAGCACAGTTGTCTTAGTCTGCAGAACAGGCTTCGTTATATTTAGGGGTTTTTTAGACGAGCATACGTGTCTCGCGCTTCACGCCCGCTTCGTGCTTCGTTCGCCTGAAAAAGGCGAAACAAACAGCGCCTGTTCTGCGACTGCAGGCTCCAGTTGTGTTGGAATAAAATCATTAGTAAGACCTTTCAATTCCAAACTCCAAAAATCACTGTTTTTTAACTTAACTTTATTTAAGCCCTCCCAAAACTCCTTACGAAGATGTATTACGATCCTAAAGACTCAGTCAGTTGACTCAGTCGGCGTTCTACGAGCATGCTTCAATGATATTTTTACAAGGCACACTAGGAGTATGTTAAAGTGCAACCCTGGAAAAACTGAAATATCACATTTGACATCGCGATTCAACAAGCAGGCTACAGTTTACGAAACAGTAACGTTAGCTAACACCTAAACAGAAGTGAAAACAAAAGCCAAGAATTTGGGTGTCATCATGGATAAAACCTTGTCTTCACTGAACATATCAACAAAATGTGCAAGAAATCCAGTGCCATAAGATCAATTGGTCGTATTAGAAAGTATATTCCTTTCGATGAATTGAAAATGTTGGCAGGGCCGTAGCTAGGTTTTTTGGAACGAGGAGGTATTATCGTGAGTGCCGAAGGCACGAACCTTGTAGGGGGTCTAGGGGTATCCTCCCCTAGAAAAATTTCAAATTTGGAGGCTCCGAAACGCTCTTTTTAGCACTTGTCAGGAAATATGTCTCCGAAAAATCGACCTCGAATATGAAAATGGCAAACAATTGCCAGTCACTATAATCAAAATAACTGAGTCTAAAGAAAACCAATCCATCCACTGACTTGATTTGTCTAGCTCAACAGGTCCAAAAATACTAGTTAGCATAAGAATAACTTGATTTACATAATAAAGCAGGAACGTTTGTATCATAACAAGGTCACCGTCAGCCTTGCTTCCATCCATAACTGTAAAAAAAAAGCCAAAGGACGCGAATGTCTGCCAGGCCAACGTCTCGTACAACGTAAAAAGCATGCCGAAAAGAAAGTTCTGCTAGCAGGGTACTTCATCCCACTTTTACGATCTCAAAAACCTTGCAGCAAAGAAACACAATTCCCAACAGTACGGAAGCGAAGGAATTGAAAGAGATGAACGACGCAGGGATAATTTTCAATTTGGAGGGAAAGATGAACTTAATCTGAAGCTTACTGTATTTTTTACCGCCGTTTTTTTTTTCAGAAATTTGGAACTGTTAAATCCAGGGATTAATCTGTTAAAAATATTTGGGATTTTAAACGGGGTGGCGGTTTGGATCCGCCACCCAAGAGTTTAAGCGATTTTCGTGCTTACTGTCAGCTGTTTGCGTTCGTGAGGAATGACATTTCAACGTCATGTCGCGATAATTCGTTTAGCCAGGTTAATTTTTTGGCTATTTCTATCCATTCCTAATTGCTTTATGTGTTGTTTGAGTTTTAGAAGTAATCAATATTTTTGAATCGTTGGTAGTGTTAAACTTTGACAATCACACTGTGGAATTGACGGGTTTGGTTTACAGCCAAGAGTTTGACAATATTTCGAGAGCCAAAGATGTTACGCAATGACGCAAAATTTCGCGATAGTGCATGAGATAAATACGGGATTGTTTCACTGAGGGGAATGACATGCCATGAGTGGCCACATATAAATTATTTCGGCAGTTTGATAATTTTATTAAAGCTAATTGATGTTCGCCTATAATTCTTAACATTGAATGATGCATAATTTCATTGCATATGTTCGGATAAGAGGCGATTTCTTAAAATCTTATTGAGCAATATGAACTCGTAAAAAAGTTACATTCTTTCACGTTCAAGGCGTAAAAGGGGCCAAGTCCAATATCTTCACGTGCAAACTGCGTGCGTGACAGTTATTTTTAAAACCCTTGGGCTAACTAGATCAAGTCGATTGTTCTCATACACGAATCACGAAAGCGGCAAACTCCAAAGCTTTCACGTCCTAACCGCGTGACAATACAACTCATAGTAAAGCCTGATTACATGATCCGGGCTGGCTAGCTCTGCCGAGGTGACTTTTGTCCCTGTAATACATGAGCCGGGCCGGCCTGGAGCCGCCATTTTCAGTTATAAAGAGATTGGAAGTAGTGTGCACGTTTCTCGCTTCGTTCATTAACCGGGCTACCAGGGAAGCGTGATTACTTGGAAAATTTCCTGCCGGGATCCCGACATCACAATACTGGGATCCCAGCTAACCGGACTGGCTCGGTTGTCATGTAATCGTAAAGTTGACTTTTGTTTCGTTTAACTAAAGTGCCGAGATCTCTGCAAAGCGAGACAACCTCATCAATGTAATCAGGTCCTTAGTTCTATTGCCAGATTTTTACGCCTTCTCCCTTGACCTCACCGATTTTTCAAAGCTCCCCGAACCCACACACCCAAAATTTCACCCTCCCCAAATATCTTCATAGCCCCTTCTCCAAATCAAATGAACTTTCCCTTATCCACGTTCTCTTCATACAAATATTATCGAAAATAACCGAAAAACAATCATAAACAAAAACCCTACCAACATAAAAATAAGTACAAGTATGTTTTCGATAACTGGCTTTCACAACTACCGCTTCATTTCAACAGACTGGAACTACACTATCCCTTGATAACCAAATTAGCACTCCCACAACTACCTCACAAAAAAATTTTTTTGTTACTTTCTATCAAATTCTGTGAGAAACTAGTTTCACTGATTAGCAAACTACCGCCATTATCTTACCGATCCACATCCAATATAACTCCATGCCTACCACTTCACACATCACAACCAACCTATAAAATATGCGACGCTACTGCACTACTCACACATCCCTAATGTACTTAAAAACTTCTCATACTCCTAGTACAACGACGCCCACATATACGCTTCCACAGCGTCTTTTTTCTTCAAAGTACACAATGTAGGCCTGGAAACGACTTTTATTTCTAAAAAGGACATACGACCGAGGAGGTCAGATGCATCTTGTCGGAAATACATTATGCTGACTGTCGTCCTAATGGACCATTCATCGGTTCCTTTGATGCCGGAGGATTCAAGTGATTTGGATCCGTCATAAATCCTGACTTGATCATCCCAAACGAATGCACTCTAGATTAATTAATTTCAGTTTGCGGCACATACATGCAGTGTATAAAACGACTGCTTATAAAAAGTGGGGTAACAAACTTCAGTTGCTGCAGCTCAAGACCAGTCGATTTTGATGTATGACTTTGGGTGTTTTAAATGTGATCCTTTAAATGTTAGCTGCTGTAACAAGACCAACTGTGGTGATCAAAGACGTCTACGAGTCCAGACTATCTTCACCAAGCTGTTCTATCTTTGTAAGCCACGTGGCACTTGTTTGCCGATGCGGTATTAACTTTGCAGACCGTTATGTTAGGTCAGAAGTCGTTACGGAAGCTATGTTCTCCATGTTGTACTGGCGGAAGAAAGACTTGGAAAATTCATATGTGCTGATCATAATTGCACAAGCTGGGGCAACTTTTATTATCCGTGCTGTCACTCCTGAAAAAATAATACATTGAACTGTTTTTAGCGACGCTCGGACACAAGTGGACACAAGCAAGTGCGGCAACCCATATCTAGGAAATGGTCAACCAATCAAACCCAAAAATTGTGGTTCAGAACGCACTTTAGAAAACCATGGAATGCAAATAAAGGGACTCATTATAAGAAACATTGCAGAAACAACTTTCTTGTTTCTAAAATACACTAAGTTTCGTTTTTCCGCAAAAAACGCCAGCGTTCTGCCGTTGGGCTGGGCCAAACATTTATCATTAAATTATAATAGTGATAAATTTTTCGCCTAACACTTGCTTCTAAGCAGTATGTGACATCCTGCTAAAAGCAAACGTTTTTTACATTGTCAAACATGAAGCGAGAGGAAGATCGCCCAGAATGTTATTGTCTTTCGTGACATGTAGTTACATGCAGTGCCCAGTTTTTAAACAGGCGGCATAGTATAAGCTTAGAAGTTGAAATCAGAGGTCTGATAAAGTTAAAAAAAGCACTCTAGTAAACGCCTGCCGTGCTCGTTACAAATGATTGCTAACTGAATGCGTGTGTGGTCAGAAATATTTTTACAGGTACTGGCGCTAACATAACAAAAAAATTGGTTCGTTTGACTTGATGTAATCACGGCTTATTTAGTTTTGTACCCTGTTCGAACTCCGACTTTAGCCACGGTTTTCCACTTGACCGGTCCATGCAGTCGTAACCAAAATTAATATAATAAAAGATGAGCTGTTTGAAAACCTCATATCGGATGTAGTGAATATAAGTGAACTTAAGCGGTTCAATGACCAGGGCTGTTGAGCGCAAAATCTGAAACCTCGTAACTGAGATAAGCAGAGTTCTGGATATATTAGTACTTGCGGGAGTTTCAAACTCAGTCAACCAAGAGCAGAACATCAAGCAACGAGAAAACGCTTGTACCTTACGATACGCTAGGACCTTACGCGATGTGTTCTACTATGATAATCTCAGATCGGAGTCTGTTATGGAGGCTAGGTTTTAGGGTGTTACTGTAGTTCTCGTTATGGTCCTTACCAGCAAACAGACTCCTCCAGCCACTTTCTCTGTACAGCTGAGACATTATGGAGAACGTAAAGGAAAGTTTCTTGGCGGCTTTTGGATCACCTGTTTAAACAATTTAGTTTAGTAATGCTCAGTTGTTTGGCAGATGTAATGACACTTTTTCCTAAATTAGAATTATCTCGGAAACATGAAGCATCATAAAGAAAAGCCAGCTAATGTTTGAATAATTGCATCCCAGTAAACACAGTATCATCGTGCCCTTCCTAACAGGACATTTACAAAATGAAGTCACTTGACTACAAATACCAAAATCTTTTATTAAATGCTGACTTTTGGAAAGGAAGCTTAAAATATAGTAACCTTAGCGGAAGTTTATGATAATCATTTTTTGGACAGCAAAGTGTTCATAAATAGAGTAAGTAGCAACGATACACATGTATAGTTTAAGCTTACTGAATACAAGTTCACCCAGCTCCATTTGACGATGCGTCTTCACTACATCAAAAGGAGTAGTTAGTAACGCTGCGATCTGGAAAAAAAGTACAAAATATAATTGCTGAGCACCTGCATATCATAACACCACCTTT